ACAGTCTGTGGTACAGAATACGGTCAATAGCCTTGTCCTGCTCCAAATTTTTCAGGCAATCTATTAACTTCTTCTTGTAACCACTTCCTGGATCTCTTTTCAGAGGTTCATAAGTGGTTAAGTCACTAAGGAGTGTCATAACTTTCTCATGATAGTCTTTCTGGTTCAAAATCACTGTGCACCTTCCTTTGTCTGCTGGGAGAATGATGATGTTTTTGTCCTTGCTAAGAGTGGTGAGTGCATCCCTCTCCTCTCTACTGATGTTGGAAGGTGGTGGTTTGGCATTGCTGAGGCAGGATGAAACTTTGATTCTGAGCTGTTCTGCTTCACCCTCTTTCATTTTTTTGTTGCGGATGGCTGATTCTGTGGCTGTGATCATCTCCACCAGAGGAATTCTACTTGGTGCAACTGCAAAGTTCAGTCCCCTGGCAAGAATCTCGGTCTCTGGCTGGGTGAGCTGTCTGTCAAGATAAATTCTTCACCCACTTTTCTGTCTCCCTGGCATGTAATTGACTACTGGAGTGTTGTCGTACACTGAATGTGTTGTTATTGGAATAGTGATGGTGTTGATGAGTTATTAGTAAGTTAAACTTGTTTTGTTGTCGAGTCTTGGACTTGACATGCTGTGCTAAGCGTGCCTGATCTGTACAGTCCAACACTTGCTGAAGTGTGGTCTGATCCAGACACATTGTTAGTTAGCAGAAAGAAGTTAATTAGGCTGAAAGTAGCAGAAATTACCATGAAAAACTTGAATTTATATGAAAACACCTAAAATTAGCTAAAAACATCTGAAGAGGTAGAATAAGCTTAAATTAGTACAAGAAAGTAGAAAGAACATGTTTGCCCATTTAGACTGAAAGAAGCAGAAATGTGCCAAAAAAGTAGAAATCATCTGAAAAAAGATGAAATTAGCAAAAAACTGCTGAAAAGTAGCTAAAAAAGGCAAAAAGAAGCTTAAGTTACAAGAGCACATTTTTGTTGAACTAGGCTGAAAAAAGTTTAAATGAGTGCAAAAAAATGTGGAATTAGCTGAAAAGGCTTAAATTAGCATAAACACAGCTATACAGTAGCTGAAACAGTAGAAAAGCTGAAACTTCCAGAAATAAGCTGAAAGGACCATAAGCTGAAATTAGCAGAAAGAAGTTAAAAGAAGTACAAAAATGTTGTAGTTTGCAGAAAAAATCTGAAAGGAGCACAACTCAGTTGAAAAAACAGCTGAACGTAGCTGAAAAAAGTTTAAATTAGCACAAGGAAGCTGAAAGAAGCTGAACCAGAACAAAATGTGAAAGGAACAGTAAAAGGTTATAAACATATCTAAATTCATTTTCTATGAGAACAAAAATGGGTACATATTTTAAAAAGCTAAAGTTGCACCAATAGCAGTCATGCAAGTCATAGCAGGATTGTCCTGAAAGATCGAGATGAATGTTTTGATTCATGATTTGTTGAAATAGTTTGAAAACTTCGAGACGAGGATCGCGTTGAAAAACGTATGGAAGAAAAATGGATCACAACAGCGTGAAAGCTTCATAAACATTCAGACGATGTGTTTGTGTTTTTGTCCTGTGCTAGCATCACTTATTCACCCCCATGGAATTATACACCATCTTACATGGTCTTTAAATGTCAGCTCACACTGATGCTATCATTTATTACAAGACAACAGTGAGTACATTAAAAAATTCTAGTCTAGAAGAACTGTTCTCAAGCCATAGTTCATCTCTCAGTAACATCAAAACAGTTTTCTTTTACTTTTTCTACTCTAACTCAGCATTTTTAAATATTGCATCATGTTTTTTGTTCATTACACTCCACTGCTCTCCACAACTTTAAATAACACACCATTAAAAGTTCACCAGCTGTCCTGGACGTAACCATCAGAGGAGTTGCGTGAAGCTTCAACATTGCTCTGACAACCAACAATATTCTAAAACAAGAAAAGGCTCAGAAATAACTGAAGCCTTTTTTCCTTCTTAAACTTTGTTCACACTTGGCACTATGATCTGTTATTAGCTATCGGACTGCATTCTGATTTCAGGTCTGGATGGCCTCAGTGCACAATAAAAACATACTCAGACCACTTTAGGAGCCGTGATGCTGCACCTCCTCGTGAACATACGTGACTCCATGCAGGCAGTAAAGATATGACTTGGACAATTTGGGGTAAAATAAAAAAGACAAATAAAAATACATTTGCTCAGCTGCCAGCTAAATAAGATAATTGGTTATTCTGGGAAATACTCACAAAAAAGTTTTTTTTATTGCCAGGAGTGAAAACTCAGTCAAAATGACAGATATTTACTGCCATGTCTGAACAGGACCGTAAAGCATTCTCAAGATTGAAGCTGATTACAAGTTGTTTTTAATGAAAAATTCCACTTCACTCAGTTTATGACAGTAGCCTTCAAACTTTAACTAAGATTAAAAACCTTAGATTCTCATTATATAATCTCTGATGATTAAACCAGTCTTAAAGGAGCCTGTTTTAATTGGCTAAACGGTTTGTGCTCTCACTGGTTGTAAAGTCAGAGTGTGGCGTTTGTATCCCTTACCTCTCTGAGGGTCATGTCGTCTTCCACATCATCCTCCTGTAGATAAGAAATGATAAAAGAACAGTTGGTTCATAAAAGTATTCAGTGTGTATGCTACAACACACACAACAAACATACACTGTAAACAAATGGCACACAAACACTTCCACTCACATGGTTAATATCTTAAACATTTGTAATTTTCTACTGTAGGTCTGCGCCCAGAAGGCGAAGCAACACTTAACTGCCATGCATGACATCATGAGTGTAACACTGTGCCACTGTCTGGAGGCAGATGGACAGAAAAGAGATGAGCGAACGCAGTACATTTAATGAGTGTGGGGGATGTGAAGTATGACACGTCAGAGCAGATGATCATCATTGAAGGTCTGAGCTCACAACTTGTAACTTGACAGGCTGATGCTGTTGGACAAGCTGAACTCGAACTAGCAACTTCATGTTTTACTGCAGTATTCTCTGTGAGGCTCAGCTGAGTGAAGAATGTTACTGCAGGGTGTGCACGAGTGCCAAGCTGTCACATTTAGGCATGCACTCGAGTACAGGTATTTACTTTTACAGGACTGAGTACTGTGTGTGTGTGTGATAAAGAGAAACAGGGTGAGGGTGTCCCAGAGGATGATGGGAGCTTTAAGCTCATTATTCCTCATTGCGTTATGACCGACCTGTTGGTAACCCTAGCAACTGTCGCCATGGGACAGCAAGAGATGCCCTGCTGTAGCAATATGCAAGCAAAGGCCAGGTGTGCCTGGAGTTTCTGAGACTAAACAAACAAGCTCAAACACCTTTGAGTGATTTATCTCTGCCGTCTCTGGGATCGTTCCGCCCGCCGCACAACACAAGGGCACCCTGATGACACCCCGCTGTTCCAGGGGGGAAACACAGTAGCATGGAAGAAGATGGTGATATTTGGTATGAGTGGTAGAAATGTGTTTGCAGATAGTAAACAAGCAGTATGTCGACGTCCCCCGTTGCTGAGGGATTTGAATTGTGAATCTTTGTAGTTTTCAAGATGAGTGTTTTTCTGGACTGGGAGTAGAACAGAGAACGCAGGTAAACCTTAATGGTGCAAGATATTCAAGTGGATAGCAGTTATTCTGTAGAGAAGACCAGTTGGAGAATTGTCTGAGGCAGCACAGAATGACAGCTCCTGGTGAGCTGGGGGAGCAAATTTATCCACACCAGCAGTGGCGTAACCAGGGGGTAGCCAATGGTGGCCTTGGCCACAATAGATCACTCTTCACAACCTCAAGAGCCACCTCAATCATTTAAGGAAACTATACTTAAAAGCAATATAAAAACTAGAAAGCATAGTTTACTCAAATGACAGGGGTCTTCGGTTTACATATATTTATGGCGATGACCATCTTGGATTTTGACAAGGACGCCCAGTTTTGAAAGAAAACTTTCTTATGCCTAGATGCAGCCACACACCAAAGTACAAGTTGGCACCTCAACTATTTTTCAAGTTATTATGCGTAGAACATGCGCGGACAGATAGAAGGTATTTCCAATTACCCGTCTTTGCTCCATAAAGGGGGACAAAAACACATAGATGGGATTGAGAAGGCAACAGAAGTACATTTAGAACGTTTAGCTGTTTTACTGACAGAGAAAACATCTGTGCTTCTGATTACAGTAACATCAGAAAGTCTGTGGGTGGGTGGCAGACTTGACTTGCACAAAAAATTTAACTACATAAAACATTTTGATTTGAATAACTGTGTGTAGGTAGAGGCACAGAAAACAGTGAGACAGACTATTTGTCTACAGCAGTCACACAATTGGTGAACACCCCTTTGGTGAGTAAATTTGCAAGGTGGTGTTCAACTCAACCAACCAACCAAGAAACCAAGCAACCAACAATCCAACCATCCATCTTCCGCTTGCTCTGCAGTCAGGTTGCTGGGGCAGCAGCTTGATCAGGGAGGCCCAGATCTCTCTTTCCACAGCCAACTCTTCCAGCTCTTCTGGGAGGACTCCAAAACATTCCCAGACCAGCTGAGAGACATAGTCTCTCCAACGTGTCCAAAACCTTCTTAGGGAGGAATCCAAGGGGCATCTTTACCAGGTGTCTGAACCACCTCAACTGGCTACTCTCGATGTGAAGGAGCAGCAGCTCTACTCTGAGTCTCTTCCGAATAACTGAATTTCTCACCCTAACTCTAATGATGAGTCCAGCCACCCTGCAGAGAGAAGTGATTTTGGCTACCTGTTTCTGCAGTCTAATTTTTTTGGTCAATACCCAAAGTTTGTGACCACAGGTGAGGGTAGGAACGTAGACCAACCGGTAAACACGCCAAGTCACCTCACCTCAAGTCCCATCATCTTGTCACTTTTGAATCTTGTAAGATCTCACAGCACAAGCTCTATTTTCACCCCCAATGCACCACATAAAATAAGAGGACTTCGTACATGCATGATGCTACAGCCATGGATATCTCATCTATGTTAGATTCTTTCCATGACCTTGTCACAATCATAGTCATAGCCAAAGCAGGAGCCAGTTCTGTTTCTAATTCTTGACAACCAGGCCACCTTGGGGTGTGCAAGTCCTTGAGTCGTATATATGTTGCCACAGCTGCCACCACACTCCACCCAAGTCTCCTATATGATGCCACCAGAATGACCTTGCTCAGGAAGTTTTGTGCCAGCTTAAAATCATTCTGGACTGCTGTATCATATGTAAAAGAGAGATTCCAAATATATATTTGAAGACCCCACAAAGACTATGACTAATTCATATCAATAGTTTTTCATGCTGCAACAAGATTTGAAACACAGTCAAACAAATATATATTTAAGTATTCCACTGGGCTGCAGCTTTTACAGACTAGTTTGCAACTCAAATTTGTAAGAACGCTTGTAAACTTTCAGGTAGAATCTTATTAAGTTTTGGGTGTTTGACACCAATAAGCTGTGTGGCAACATTTTGCATAGTAAGTTTTTGAAAATTACAGCTATAATTCTATCTGCATGTCTTGTAGAATTATAGTTTGAGTTGTGCACATTGTTTTGTTTCCCACATCCGCCCACAATACACATTACCCACATTGGTCAGTTTTGTAAGCCCCTTGGCACTACCACCATGTTTATGATTAAACTACTGGAGTACACTTTGAAGATAGAAGTGGACACTGAAGGGTGTAGCCTCAGATGTTTTCTGTCAGAGGAAAGCTCCCATGCAGGTGTCAAAAAACAGCTATGGTGCTCTTGAGATGAGTTGGAGACACCTGCGACAGCTCTGCGACTATTATGAGAGAAAACTTGTCGAACAAATTTTTAGAATGTGTTTAAAAAAAAGACCCCCAACCCCCACAGGACATAAATGAACACATCTGCAACTAAGGAAACTGAGAACACCAACAACTGTTTTGAGACATTTTGAAGACTCTTCAAATTGTTCCTTTTTGTCAACTACCGGTAGTTTCCAACAGTTGACAGGTGTAGTTCAGTGAGATATTGCCTTTGATAACTACCACTCTCTCTATAACAAGCGGTATGTCGATGCCCCCTGTCGCAGAGAGATTTGAATAGTGAATCTTTAGTTTTCAAGATGATTGTTCTGGACTGGAGTTGAACTGGGAATGCAAGTAAACTTTAATGTTGTTGCTGCAAGATATACAAGTTTGTAGGAGATACACTGTGCATAAGAACAGAGGTTGTTTTTTGCTGTTCTTGTCTGAGGCAGCGCAGACTGACTGATCCTGGCAAGTGGAAGGAGCAGTTTTATCCACCACCAGGTGAAATGGCTTTAGCCTATAGATCAATCTTAGGTCACCACACTGGCTACCTCAATCATTTGATGAAACTATAGGCTCATTCATGACCGTTCTGTGAAATGGTCGCACAGAGCAGTCCGTCTTTAAGGTTCCTTGAGCCGTTCATCAGTTACAGATGAAGCAGATTAACTCCCACTAAAATGTAAAGTTTGTTTTAGAAATGAAATGAAGCGGGCAGTGCAGAACAAAAAGAAGGGTGGAGGAGAACTCGGATGGGCTGAAGCCAAGAGCAATGCATTAAATGTTTGTCGGACATCTCCCTTCTGTCACTTACTAAACTTAATTAATTAACTCACTACAGCAATTCTCTTTGTGGTCATTTATTTTTTTATTTTTACCAATTACAACGTTGCTGTGCGTTGTCGTTAATTTTACCTCAGTAATAAATCTGTTTGTTGTTGCTTGATCCTGTGAGTAGGCGCTCGCACATATTATCTTCCTTCAACTGTTTTCCATAGACATAAGGTGGTGGCCATCTTGAATTTTGATGTGGCAGCCCATTTTTTGATATCGATCTTTCTTCCACATAGATGTAACCACACACCAAAATAGATGCCATTAACTTATTTTTTTTTTATTATCCAGCTCACAAGATGAACAGACTGCAGGGTATTTCAAAGTCACCACTTTGTGTGGAGAAAACTCATACTTTGGTTGGGCTGAATACTTTGATATCGTCATTTACTGCATTCAAGTGACATCTGGTCCAAGAAGTCTAACATCAATTATTTTCTGTGTGCTGACATAATGAAAACAAATGTTAAGAGTTTAAAACAGCAGATAGAGAGAAGCATTTATAATGGAACTTCCTGAGGTTTGTGCAGCTGGAAAGCAAAATAAACTGAGTCGAGCATGATCAGGCTCAACAGTTGGAGGCTCCAGATGTCACAGGGACTTGGCTCATTATCGCTCTGCTTCCCCAACTCATTCCCCATTATAGTGTTGGATAAACATGTCAACAAAAGTTGTAAAATCCTGCTTCATCCAACTCTAGATATTTATATGAAGTTACTTTGTCAGTTATTTTTATCATTATGTTGTTGCGGCAAACCTTATCTTTAAAATAAATTAAGCAACAATGTTTATGCTTTGATGCTCTGTCAATAAATCCATTTGAGTTTGTATTTTCAAGTAACTGTTTTTGAAGATAAGTGCAAATATGAATGTTTATTAAAAAAGACAAGTTCCACACAGTTTACTGACCTTTGTGTTCTTCTTGTCCGTTTATAAACTGTTTTTATGCAATAGAGGTTAAAC